CTTGTCACCCAGGCTGGAGTGCAGTGGTGTGATCTTGGCTCACTGCAATCTCCACCTCCTGGGTTCACGCGATTCACTTGCCTCAGCCTCCTGAGTAGATGGGATTATAGGCACCTGCCACCATGCCTGGCTAATTTTTGTATTTTTAGTACAGACGGGGTTTCACCACGTTGGCCAGGCTGCTCTCGAACTCCTGGACTCAGGTGATCCACCCACCTCGGCCTCCCAAAGTGCTGGGATTACAGGCGTGAGCCACTGCGCCTGGCCCCATATGACTCTTTTTTTTTTTTTTTGAGACAGTCTCGCTCTGTCCCCCAGGCTGGAGTCAGTGGCGCAATCTTGGCTCACTGCAACCTCCACCTCCCAGGTTCAAACGATTCTTCTGCCTCAGCCTCCCAAGTAGCTGGGATTACAGGTGCCCGCCACCATTCCTGGCTAATTTTTTGTATTTTAGTAGAGATGTGGTTTCACCATATTGGCCAGGCTGGTCTTGAACTCCTAACCTCAGGTGATCTACCCATCTCGGCCTCCCAAAGTGCTGGGATTACAGATGTGAACCACTGTGCCCAGCCTATTTGTCATTTTTATAATCAAGACATCATATTGATTTGTTTTTTGAAATTATGTGTCCAGGCATGTTATATTATCTGTTAATTTCACAGATAGTAGTGTTGCAAAATATTGGTTATAAAAAAGGAACACTGGGGCCGAGACAGGCGGATAACAAGGTCAAGAGATCAAGACCATCCTGGCCAACATGGTGAAACTTTGTCTCTACTAAAAATACAAAAATTAGCCGGGCGTGATGGCGTCAGCCTGTAGTCCCAGCTACTCGGGAGGCTGAGGCAGGAGAATGACTTGAACCCTAGGGGTGGAGGTTGCAGTCAGTCGAGATTGTGTCACTGCACTCCAGCCTGACAACAGAGGGAGACCCCATCTGAAAAAAAAAAGAAAAAGAAAAAGAAAAACGAGGAAGAGGCAGAGGATAGGAACTGTTGTATAGGGTACATTGCAGTGATAGAAGTCAGGTCCTCATAATGTAGAGTGAGTGAGGAGGGGACAGGCAGGAGATGAGGGTGAAGAGCTGGGAGGCTCTGGTAAGGAGTTTAGACCCACTGTCTCCCTGGCTCCATCGCCCCACCTATGGGCATGCAGGATGTAGACAGTTGAAAATCTCTACCTTGTGTCTCTGATCCCATGCCTGCAATGTGTTCCCTGCCTTCTCTAATTAGTAATAAAATTCCATTCATCCTTCAAGGTCCAGCTCCAAACCATTTAGGAAACCTCCTTCCATTCTTTGGCAGGAATTAATCGCTCCCTTGTCTGATATCCGACAGCACTAGTCACATGCTGACTTGTGTCTCAACTAGCTGTTTATGCACCAGTCTACCCACCAATGTAGTGAGTTCCCTGAGGGCAGAGGCTCTGTCTTAGTCACCTCTGTAGCCATCTCTTGGTGTTTAGCAGGTACTCGACGTGACATTTACTTGACTAGTGGGTGGTGCCTAGTACTACTCATGGCAGAAAAGAAGGAAAACAAAAATAATAACTTACGGTCTATTACATGTTTTCCCATTCATTACCTGATTTTAGCCTTCCAGCAACTCTATGAGACAGACGGGACAGGTACTATTAGACCCATTTTACAGATAGGGTAGCTGAGGCCCAAGGGCACACAGCTTGTAAATAATGGTGACTAAGTCCCAATCTTGTCCCCTTACTTCGGATTCTGTGCTAGGAACGGAATTAAACGGAAGAGTATTTTGAAGCTATAAGAGAAAGCGCTTTTCTGGGTAGACTAGGGAGAGATCCTTAGCTGTCAGGGGTTAACAGCAGCTCCATCAAGGAGGGCACAGGATTTCTCTCTCTGGCCCAAGCAGCTGGAGGAGTCCATAGCACCATCCTACAGCCCTGGAAGCTGGAGGAAACCCCAGCCCGAGAAAGAAGAGACCAGGGTCAGGTGGCTAAGATGACGTAAAGGATGACTGTGAGCAGAGGCCTGCCTCTGTTGCTATGCCAACCGGAGCTTGACTACTTGGACTTTGCAAGGTTGGCTGAGGCAGGTTCTTGGCTAACTCGAGATTAGGGAAGGATATTTAGCAGGGAGGGTGTGTGCGTGCAGCGGTTAAAGACGAAAGGAGTATATTCTAAAATGACTGTTTAGCTCAATGGTTCTCCGCTTTGACAACACGTTAGAATCACCTGCACAATTTCCTCATGCCTAAACTGCACCCCAGAATTAAATTAGAATTTCCGGGAGTGGGAACCAGGCATCATAGTTATTTAATTCTTGCCAGGTGATTCCAATTGCAGCTAACGTTGCAAATTCTGCTTTTAGCTGGTAAGCGGAATTCTTGCGACCTTCCCAAGATGGCAGCCACTCACCCGCTTCCGCCTGTACGTGCGCCGGCAGGGGGCGGGCTTCCCAGGGGCGCATGCGTCTCGCCTCTCCTCACTCCCCGCTCCCTCCTCCTTTTTCCCCCTCCTCCATTTTGTTCGCGGACGCTGGGGACGGTGGGAGCAGATCCATTTCCGGGTTGGCAAAAGGGGCGGCGGCGGCGGCGGCGGCGAGAGGGAGAGCTTGCCGGGGGGCGAGCTGTACAGGACGAAGCCGGAGCGTAGGCGGTGGAGGATTCGCTCCCAGAGCAGCTGCGGCCAGGTTGGAAAGAGGCCAGGGCGGCTGGGTCCGTCGCTGAAATGACCTGCGGACCTGCCTGGGAGGGAAAGTCGGGGAAGGGGGGTTCGGGGCGGGGCTTGAGGAGAGGGGGGCATTGGAGGAGGGGCCGGAGGGGGAGAAGGGTCTTGGGGGCGGGGCCTGAGGGGCGGGGGCCTAGGGGCTGGATCGGAAGAACCTGGAAGAGAGAGGGCGTGGGGAATCTCGGGTGGAATGGTGGGGTATTGGTCTGGGGCGAGTGTGTACTGGGAAAATGGGGAGGAAGGATTTTGAGAGACAGGTAATAAGGGCTCCTGAAGGACTGGGTGAGGTAAGGAGGCAACTCAGGGTGAGGAACGAGATAATCGTGCGCGAAAAGGGGGACGGGAACGGAGGACCTGCTGGAAACAGCTAATTAGCAGGATGCTGTGGGTGAGTAGCCCAGTGTGACATTTTGGGGATTGAGGTGAAAGGTAGAGGTTTGGAAGATGGCTAGGGAAACTGCTTACACTAGAGGGAATCTTGAGAGCGTTGGGAATCTTGAGAGCGTTTGTTGAAAAGGAATCAGAATAGAGTTAAAGGTTGGATTGAGAATGTTGAGATGCACATTGGAACGTCTAGAGTTGAGGGTTCATGTTGAAGTGGTGTGAAATGAGGGAAGATGGAATTTCTTTTTTTTTTTTGAGTTGGAGTCTCGCTCTTGTTGCCCAGTTTGGTCTTGAACTCCTGGGCTCAAGCGATCTTCCCACCTCGGCCTCCCAGAGTGCTGGGATTACAGGTGTGAGCCACTGCGCCAGGCCACAATGGAAATCTTAAAGTGTTCAGCATTGCAGTGTGTATGGTCGAGTTTTTGATCAGGAAACAAAGTTCTCTTTTTTTATTCTTTTTCTGAGACGGAATCTCGCTCTGTCATCCAGGATGAGTACAGTGGTACAATCTCGGCTCAGCACAACCTCCGCCTCATAGGTTCAGGCGATTCTCCTGCCTCAGTCTCCAGAGTAGCTGGGATTACAGGCGTGCACCACCATGCCTAGCTAATTTTTGTATTTTTAGTAGAGATGGGGTTTCACCATGTTGGTCAGGCTGGTCTCAAACTCCTGACTTCAGGTGATTCGCTGGCCTTGGCCTCCCAAGTGTTGGGATTACAGGCATGAGCCACCTCGCCTGGCTGGAAAGTTCTTAGATAACATTGGGGCAAGGAGCTGGTATGTGATGGAATTACGATTATTATTATTTTTTAAGAGACGTGGTCTCACCTTGTCACCCAGGCTGGAGTGCAGTGACATGATCATGGCTCCTTGAAGCCTTGACCTCCTGGGCTCAAGTGATCCTCCTGTCTCAGCCTTGCCAGTAGCTGGGACCACAGATGGGCCCGCTACTCCCACCTAACGTATACATATATAGGTGTTTTTTTTTTTTGTAGAGAAGGAGTCTTGCTGTGTTCCCCAGGCTAGTCTGTAACTCCTGGTCTCAAGCGATCCTCCCACCTCACCCTCCCAAAGTGCCGGGATTACAGGTATGAGCCACTGTGCCTGGCCCAGAATTTGTTTTTTTTTTTTTTTGAGACGGAGTTCCACTCATGTTACCCAGGCTGGAGTGCAATGGCGCGATCTCGGCTCACCGCAACCTCCGCCTCCTGGGTTCAGGCAATTCTCCTGCCTCAGCCTCCTGAGTAGCTGGGATTACAGGCATGCACCACCATGCCCAGCTAATGTTTTGTATTTTTAGTAGAGACGGGGTTTCACCATGTTGACCAGGATGGTCTCGATCTCTTGACCTCGTGATCCACCCACCTCGGCCTCCCAAAGTGCTGGGATTACAGGCTTGAGCCACCGCGCCCGGCCCCGTATTTTTTTTTTTTAAGACAGGGTTTCACCACATTGGTCAGGCTGCTCTTGAAATCCTGACCTCAGGTGATCCGCCGGCCGTGGCCTCCAGAGTGCTTGGATTACAGGCGTGCGCCACCATGCCCGGCCAGAATTTGTATTTTTTAAAGGACTTCAATAATCTGTTACTGCTTTGGGCTCTCCCAGGGTCTCCATTCCTTTTTCATGCTGTTATTTTTGCCTTACAGTTTTGGTTTTTGACTGTCTTACTGAATGTTTTTGGCTATTCTGTTCTCCTTTTACAAATCAGAAGAGAACCTCAGGGAATAAGGAAGGTTTTGGCCTACCTATGGATTTACCTTCAAGGCAAATCATTAAAGTTTCATTTTTTTTCCCTTTTGAAATATAGGTCTCATCTGTCCCTGCCTCTAAAAGCTTGTGTTAACACGTGGGGTCTTTAAGTGGTTGCATAGAAGTGATCTCTGAAAAACGAGATTGAGATATTAATATTTAGAAGATAGGCAATGGTGCACCTGCCTGTAATCCCAGCTTCTTGGGAGGCTAAGGCAGGAGGATTGCTTGAGCCCAAGAGTTTGCCCATTCTGGGCAACATAGCAAGACCCTGTCTTTTAAAGAAAAAGAAGGCTGGAGACAGTAGCTCACTCTGGTAATCCCAGCACTTTGGGAGGCCAAGGCGGGTGGACCACCTGAGATCAGGAGTTTGAGACCAGCCTGACCAACATGGTAAAACCCTGTCTCTACTAAAATACAAAAATTAGCTGGATGTGGTGGCGGGCACCTGTAACTCGGCCTCTTGGGAGGCTGAGGCAGGAGGATCACTTGAACCCAGGAGGCAGAGGTTACAGTGAGCTGACATCATGCCATGCAGTCCAGCCTGGGCAACAACAGTGAAACTCTGCCTCAAACGGAAACAAAAACAAAAAAGGAAACATGTTTTTCTGTTTCTTCCTCTCAGCCTTGCTCCTCTGTGTGTGTGTGTGTGTGTGTGTGTGCGCGTGCGTGTGTGCGCGCTCTCACGTGCTGACCAGGGAATAATTAGTTTTGATTTGATGCATATTCGATGAGTTTCGCGCTTGTTGCCCAGGCTGGAGTGCAGTGGCGCAATCTTGGCCCACTGCAATTTCCGCCTCCCAGGTTCAAGCGATTCTCCTGCCTCAGCCTCCCAAGTAGCTGTGGCTGCAGGCACGCACCACCGCGCCTGGCTGATTTTTTGTATTTTAGTAGAGATGGGGTTTCACCATGTTGGTCAGGCTGGTTTTGAACTTCTGGCCTCAAGTGATCTGCCTACCTTGGCCTCCCAAAGTGCTAGGATTACAGGTGTGAGCCACCACGCGCAGCCCTTGTGGTGGCTTGACAGACACTGACTTTCTTCATGGATTCTTTGAGAATTCACTGAAAAATAATATTTTGGACAGTTGAGCCTTATACTTAGGTCTAGTTGCTGTGTCCTTGTCAGTTGGTAGAGATCAGTGTGTTTGTGGACAATTTTAAATTATTTTTAATCCTTTCAAACCCCGACTGTTTCAGCTTTTTCTTTGGGTAAAATACTCTGAACACTTTACTCATATGTGAACTTGTTTAGCTTAGAAAAAGAGTTCCTGAAAGTCTTGGGAATTTTTTCTTTCTAAGAGACAGGTCTCACTCCGTTGCCCAGACGGCAGTGCAGTGGTGCGATCATAGCTCACTGCAATCTTGAACTCCTGGGCCCAAGTGGTCCTCCCGCCTCAGCCTCTTTGAGTAGCTAGGAGTTTTGGCATTTCTAAGGATGTGGATTTGCTAAAAAGGGGGCATTTCTAATTCTTTTTTTTATTTTTTTTCCTTGAGACAGAGTCTCTCTTTTTTTTTTTTTTTTAAATTTTTATTTATTTATTTTTTTAATTTATTTTTTTAAAGACAGGGTTTCACCATGTTGGTCAGGCTGGTCTTGAACTCCCGACCTCAGGTGATCCGCCTGCCTTGGCCTCCAAAGTGCTTGGATTACAGGCGTGAGCCACCGCACCCAGCCAGAGTCTCGCTCTTGAGTGCAGTGGTACGATCTTAACTCATTGCAACCTCCACCTCTCAGGTTCAAGCGATTCTCTGCCTCAGCCTCCCATGTAGCTGTGTTTACAGGCACTCACAGCTGTGCCTGGCTAATTTTTTGTATTTTTAGTAGAGACTGGGTTTCGCCATGTTGGCCAGGCTGGTCTTGAACTGACCCTAAGTGATCTGCCTGCCTCGGCCTCCCAGAGTGCTGGGATTACAGGTGTGAGCCGCTGTGTCCAGCTGGGGCATTTTTATTTTATTTTTTTCTTGGGACAGGGTCTCACTCTGTTGCTCAGGCTAGAGTTCAGTGGTGCAATCTTGGCTCACTGCAACCTTCATCTCCTGGGTTCAAGCGATTCTCCTGCCTCAGCCTCCCAAGTAGCTGGGATTGCAGGCACCTGCCACAACGCCTGGCTAATTTTTGTATTTTTATTGGAGACAGGGTTTTACCATGTTGGCCAGGCTGGTCATTTCTAATTCTGTCTCACACTTGTTACCAGAGTACTGTTTACCCTAGCTGGTAGTGATAAGTTACGTGATACCGGCACAAAGGTGAAATGCAGGGGAGGTGTGAACATTGGAGTTTTCAGGTTTTACTGATGGCTTTTACAAAGGGAAGATTCTAGACTCACTAGGTGTTTTTAGAAAAAAAAAAAAGAAAAAAAGAAAAAAAAAGAGGGCAAGAGAAAAGTCTTGTTCTATTGAAGAGAAAATTATTAATTGTTCTTTCTTTACTTGGGCTCTCTGATTGGGTGAGTAACCTGGTATACTTTAGTCTGTTTTCCTGCTCTGAATTAAGTATAAAATTCATGAGCTGGCCAGGCGCGGTGGCTCAAGCCTGTAATCCCAGCACTTTGGGAGGCTGAGGTGGGTGGATCACCAGGTCAAGAGATCGAGACCATCCTGGTCAACACGGTGAAACCCCGTCTCTACTAAAAATACAAAAAATTAGCTGGGCATGATGGCGCGTGCCTGTAATCCCAGCTACTCAGGAGTCTGAGGCAGGAGAATTGCCTGAACCCAGGAGGCGGAGGTTGCGGTGAGCCGAGACCGCGCCATTGCACTCCAGCCTGGGTAACAAGAACGAAACTCTGTCTCCAAAAAAAAAAAAAAAAAAAAATTCATGAGCTGTTGCTTCAGGCAGCATCAGCAAACATAG